CATGAGATTGCGTATTCACAATAATTAAAATAAACTTATCTCAAAATTATCTGCCTTTGACTTTTTGGAAGGCAATCGTTGTCTTTTTTTACAATTTCTGTATCTTACATGTATGTCAACACCATTATTTCATTACCAAAAAAATTGCCATATAATTTAAAATCATCTTATAATGAAAAGAAAAAAATACAGCATATAATGCAAAAGCACCTCATCATAATGAAGAAACCACAGCATATCATGTGAAAGAACCTCATCATAATGAAGAAACAACTTACAGCATATATCATACAAAAGTCCTCATCAAAATGAAATAGCCACAGCATATCATGCAAAAGCATCTCACCATAATGAATGAATCACAGCATATAATGCAAAACACCTCACCAGATTGAAGAAACCACAGCATATAATGAAAAACATCTTACCAGAATGAAGAAACCACAGCATATAATGCAAAACACCTCACCATAATGAAGAAATCACAGCATATAATGCAAAACACCTCACCAGATTGAAGAAACCACAGCATATAATACAAAACACCTCACCATAATGAAGAAATCACAGCATATAATGCAAAACATCGCATCATGATGGAGAAACCACAGCATATCATGCAAAACACCTCACCATAATGAATGAATCACAGCATATCATGCAAAACACCTCACCAGAATAAAGAAACCACAGCATATAATGCAAAACACCTCACCATAATGAAGAAACCACAGCATATAATGGAAAAGTACCTCACCATAATGAAGAAATCACAGCATATCATGCAAAACCATTTCATCATAATGAAGAAACCACAGCATATAATGTAAAAGCACCTGTCCATCTTATCATAAAAATCCATTACGAGCACCTTTGGTCATAGTATTTTCTATTTCACTCGTACATGTAAATTTCTGTGCATGTACATCTTTACTGGTATGCTTTTCGATAATTATCAATAACTTATATTCTCATATATTTTATGATTTCAAGAATTAAGCTCGCTCTACCTTAAAAAAGCATTCTATATGTGGTTGTGCTACACAGCTGAAGGAAAAAGTGTTTGAATACTGTCGGGTCAGGCCCTGACCTGTGGTATGCGTCTGATTACTGTCTTCTATTTCTTAGATCACGTTCAAAAGGAAATGACTTTAATGTTGATAAAAAAAAAAGTTATAGTTTTTCCCAATATCTTGCCAGTAATAATTTCTGTACTTTTAATCTTTATTTTATCCTGAAATATGCAATAACTGGAGTCTAACTTTTCTTTTGCTTAGAGAATCAGGTCCTGAATACTAGTAGTATCCAGATCACAGCACAGTAATGGAACAATTCCCTTATAGTCCTAAGATTAAATTGAGCATTCCCAATTCCACTAATACATATTGTATATAAAACACCAAATATGTTCACAGGATACTGGGGCTCGGTTCCTGTACATATCTTTTTTCCGAACAATAACTTAACACAATCAGCTTAAAAGGTTGTCATCCGCCATCATGGTAATTGCCATGACATGCTAGCAGCATTTAATCCTCCTTGATGGATACCTTTGGGAGGGCATCAAAATTTGCTGCATTAATCTACCATCTAGCCGTTTTAGTGTCTGCCTTGTCTGATGTAAGGTGTCATGTGCTGACGTTGTCGATTTTTTTAAGTTTCTTGGGATTCAAGACTTGTGGTCAGAATACATATATAAATTTAGACATACTACAGATTCCGATCTGACACCGGTGCAAGGAGAGCACGTTACGTTTTTTTTTTCTTTTATTAAATTATATGGGATACAATCACTACATATGTGACTCGTTTAAAGATTTACAGAGAAAACAATCTCTTTCTGCAGACCTTACACATTTAAGTACATTATTCCTATGCTTATACTTTCGATTTAAAGATTTTGCAGATTCGTAAATTAATATACGAGGCATATATTGTCCATCCAAGAAAATTTGAAGCTATTTTTAAAATAAACATAGTTCAAGAACTGGTTGCCGTGGTTAGTACCCTCCTACTAGGCGTAAGGACAGGCAGAATCTCAGAAAAGTAATACTATGGAATTACCAATATGGAGTGTCATGTCGAAATCCCAGGCGAGTGACAAAGAGAGTTTTGCTACCAGATCTGTTGGTTGTTACTTTGAGTGGGTATTTGTAAAGTAACAGGATCAATTCTGTCCAGGAAATGATAATGGACTCTGCGAGATCTCTCTCCCTTTGAGCTAACTGAGACCCCAAGTTGACATATCCATTATTTACATTATTTCCCTAGATCAGTCACATGTTTCTAATTTGTTTTACTGTTTCAGTTTATTTGTAAGAAATTACTAATAAATACTGCTTTGTGTCAATAAGCTTACTATAGTAGTTCAAATGTAATTCTTTGGAAAAAGGAAAAAAACAGGTTGATATACATTTCATGCACTTTTCTAGTGAAAGTCGTGTTTGATAAATCGAGTAGAGTTGGTGACTTTTCGCACGCAATATTTTTTTTTTTTTGGATAGTGATTTAGCATAAAACTATCCTTTTATCCACAGAATCAAGCAAATTAATAACTATTTAGTTTTGCTCTATCAGTAACACAGAATACAGATGATCCTACTGCCCTATGACTTTATACCCATAAATCAGTCACTACAGCAATATATCGATTCACGGAGAACGGTTATTTCATAGTGTTGATGTGCTGGGCTAAATATTGTCCTAATTGGAACTATATCCTTTCAAGTCACTTTAAATATGCATTGATTTCGATGTAAGTCGAAAGACAAAAGGTTTATTCGCCGAGATCGCTTTCATACTGAACGATGCAGTTCAGAAAAGTGAGAAAACAAAAGCTATCCCTGCGGATCGCGGGATACGTGCTAGCCTTACGTCCCTGGGGAGATAGCCTACACTCCGTGTTTCTGACATCGTATAATAATCAATGTTATAAAATTGTTTAGATTTTCTCTCGGAACTGTAGTCAAATAAGACTCAAAGAAATAAAATAAGACAATTGACCTATTTTGCTTAATTGATAAAATATTAAAGATATATATATATAGGCATTACATACGTTGCGTATACATTTAGTATAAGTATGCTTTTCTTTGGCAAGCCAGAGAGTTGACCCGCATATCTTGATACAAGATGTTTAACACCTCGAAGATCAATCACGTGATGTGTCTACTCACCCGGGAAGTTCCACAACACAGCATGGCAGCTTTCCTGATAATCCCCGAAATCCACAAAAGACGCATGGGGACGAGGCGTCATTCCGTCTCCCGTACAACCTACCACCCCCCTTGTTAAGTACCCTCTTTGTGTCTTGGTGGTCAACTGATAGATTTTCTTGGCCTAATACCATGCCGTATCACAGTCAGCAGATTTTTACGGTGACTGCTCTTCCAAATCAATCGTTCTTTTTTTTTTCGTAGAAAGCACAAGTAATGATTATTGCACTTATTAAATAACGGCTTCTGATAACCTCTCGTGAATAACAGCCGTATACAGATGGAATTACAACTGTGTCACGATTGTAGATCAAGCTACTACAATCGCGTTAGCACCATGTCTTAGTACATGTAACTACGGGCGCTGTTACTCCTTGAAAAACATAATGCCTCAGTGTTGATATTGTCCAAGCGCTGGAACCAATTTGTCACCAATACTGGTCTTGCAATCTTGCCTGGATCAATTATAATTCTCTCGCCATTAAACCAAGAACTACGTATACACAATTTAGTAATACTTATTACAGGTATCGATTTTCAGTTTCTATGGCAACTATGCAAGTTTGATCACAGGTTAATAGAGTCATAAGCCCGCTACCTAAATGTCACTCATCGACAGAGACTTCGAAACATATATGAGCTTCTCTAATCACCGGAAATCGGGTGCATGTTTGATTTCGCAGACAAGAAATTTGATCGAAGATTTGGCGGGAGAAAATAAGCAAGATACTGATGCTGTAAGGAGAGGGCTGATCAAACAAACAGTAGCAGTTATTACACACTAAAAATAACCGGGCCTGTTTTCTTTTGACTTTAATCAAATTTAATTATCAGTGATGGGCTTAATTTGAAATTGATTTTGGGGAGAGATCTGCTGCCAATAAAAGCAGCTTGTAAAGGTTTCGTATTGCGTAACCGTCTGTCTTACTTCATTTAAATTACAATAAACTGCAATCAAGATTTTAAAAAATATATATATTGCTTGTACATCGAAGCAGACCGGAAACCGCTTTATGTGATCCGAGTTGTTTTATTTCAGGAAAGGAAGTTAAATTAAGCGGTGATTTTTTTAAGGATACTGGAATGCATTTTCAAATTTAATTTGTTAAAATGACAAACGGTGGAAAAATGTGAATTAAAAGTTTTATTAAGTGCGTTAATGCGCAAGAAGAACTTTGGATGAAATGCATGCAAACATAACTGAAGCCTATAAATATTTTATCAATAAAACTCACGCAATAGTTTACATTTGGTATTCACTGGCCCAGAAAGACAGTGTTTTATTGATATGTCGATATTATAATATTGGCTATAAGTGCAACAATACATTAAATATTTAATATTTGATTTTATATATATATATATATATATATATATATATATATATATATATATATATATATATATATATATATATATATATATATATATATATATATATATATATATTCAGAAAACAAATACATGTACAATATAAACTACAATGCTCTCTATATACATGTATGTTGATGATGTATGAATATCTTGACAAAAGCAATAACAGTAATCAAAACGTGGAAATTTGCGCGTTTTAAATATCACGCCAGTTGTCCTTGTCCGTGATGCTTGCGTGTAACGCAGAGACAAAAACATTTTTTTTTTTTTTTTGCGTACACATAGTTAGTGTTAATTTCCCCTATGCGTAAATTTCTAGCTTTTGTTTGCAAGTATATATTGTAACATTCAAAGTTAATACTGTTTGAAATATTTGATTAATAATTAATAAAAGCAGCAGTCTTTAACATGTTTACAAAACCGATAAAATGATATAACAGGTACACAATTAACTAAAATCGATATACATGTAAAAGTTAACAAATGAGAATTTTATAACAGGAATGGTCAGGATAAAAGCATTTATTTTAGATACCCTGACAGTAAAGAAAAAAGTATACTTTAATTGTAACATTTAAAATCATTTCAAAAGACCGTCTCAAAACAAAACATTTTATCATCAACTTGAAGTATCATTCTAGGATATCATTGGTTGGTTTATCATAATTAAGGACCAACTGCAAGTTGATTACACAATCATGTACATCACAACTAACTAGTACTTGCGCTTTTACAAAAAAGCAAAGTTTCATAATTGATAAGCAATTATTAGCAGGGCATTGGAATGTCCGAAAATTGTTACTTTCACATTTTGTTTCTATGATAATAATAAATTTTTGCAGGAAGTTGGCGCTGATGATTTTTTTTTTCATATTTCAACAGCTACTCCAGGGCTTGATGATGAGGACGTTCTGTTGTTCCCTTACGTTTGACCAACAGTGGATTAGATTTATCTCCCTTTTTGGTGGCATGGAATTTCCATGCTCCACTATAGCAATCCACCTTTCGAAATAAAAGAAACGTAACATTTTTTATAGAGTCAGACTTCAAATTTGAAAAGTTTATACAGTCGAACTTTGTTTCATGTACATTATGTATTAATGAACAACCTGACAAAATCTATTATTGGAATACAGACAGACACAAATTTTAAACTAAAACTTGCACTTAGAATGATTACTCTCAATTTCAATTAGCAATTTTACTTTAAAAAAAAGCTCATAATTCAACTGTAATTTGGATTTTTGATTGAAGAAGAAAAACATCTCAGATATTTTGTCATAAAAGAGATTAACCTGTCAAACAAACCTGCATAAAAATGTATTTAAAGAGCATGATCAACACAGATTTGTCGTTAATAATAAATAACTTTCAAAATTGTCGGTAGAATTCATGACTAACTTATTGAAAGAGCGTTTTATACCAGATATATATATACCGGTATATTAGGAATACCTGTTTAGAATTTTTTTTTATCTGTAAATTATAAAAACTACAAATTCCAGGCATGTTCGATTATCATACTCCTAGCATTTTCATGAACTAAATTTTATTCTTAATATTCAAGAAAAAGGGGTAATCTGATGTATATTAATAAAAGATTAAAACAATAAACAAGAAACGTCAAAGAAATATATAAGAATGCAAAATCAACAAAACTGTATTGTCAGATGTTAGCAATGTCAGCAAATCGAACACACCCATTAAAATGTAAAGAAATAATAATAATATCAGAGCTCATCCCACTGTTTACAAACACAGATGTTTGGTGTGAGATAATGAAGAATGCCATTGTCATGGAGTATAAAGACCTTTCAGGTAAGTTATCTGAAACTTTTTTTCAAATAAAAATAGAACTTCAAAACTGTTAACAAAACAGCAATGCAGATGTGTCCATGCATGCCCCTTTAATTATTATAAACACGAACGTCTTGATAGAAAAGTCTACCAGATAACTAACATGAATAATTGATAAATGTGATTTACACTGATATCTTCCTGTTTGTTAATGATTTTTTTTTTAAATTTCTGTCTGGAGTTAAGTCTTACTGATTTTCTAGCATGTCTGAACAGTTTTCAGTGCAGCTGAGATTATGGTACAACATAAAGAAAGAGACAAATGTAGCAATGAACTTACAGGAATTAAATTATCTTTTTTGTTGTCCTTTTCAGATTTTTCTAGTTCCTCTGCTGATAGAAGAGCAAGGCGAACATGACAGACAATCTTTCGGGCTACTTCACTCATTGGTTTGTTCAGCACAACCTGCATTAAAAATCAAATATTTCACAAACCTTTCCAATTTATATTTATTTACACATAGAAATATAATTTTTCTTGCTACTTGCTGTAAGAAAATAATTTTTAAGTGAAATTTTTAGTTTCATTTTTAATAGATAAAAAATTTTAAACCTGAATAAATGATTATAATGCTTATAGTTCCAATCAAGGAAGTACATCATCAGAAAATGGTTGGAAAAAATTAAGAATGTCCTTCAAGCTTATGAGGTGTATTTCCATGTATACAACATCAATCATTACTTAAATTTGACTTATTTTCTGCAAACCTTTGAAAATGTGTAATTATAAACTGGCACCATACAATACATATACTTACTGCATTGACAGTGGCCCATTCTTTGATGTATTTAATAATGTCAGATTCATCTAACATCAGCTCGTCTGACTTTAGGATCTCTATTAATGCATCTTCTCCCAGCTCTTGGAATCCTTTTGATTTGAAGACATTCTAAGATAGACAGATTAAAATGTTGAAAAGGAAATCTGCCAGTGAGGATGAAAATTTAAAAAGTGGTTGCAACATTAGCATCTTATTTTCCAGTATTTAATACTCATAATATTAATGACATATATGACAACTTTATGAAAGTATATAACTATTATGTTGACAAAAATATACCCAAAAAAGTAGTGACCATTCGACCTTCAGATAAACCATTTATGACAAGTGCTATCAGATGTAAGATGCGACAAAGAAATAGAGTACATTACAAGGCAAAACAAAATAATAACGAATACCAGTGGAGTAAATACCGTCATTTAAGAAATGAAGTAATAAGTATGGTACGTAAATCAAAACAGGTCTATAAAGAAAAAATTACTTCACAAATATTAGATAGAACAATTCCACCTGGGAAATGGTGGCGAATTGTAAAGTCTATTACTAAATTCTCTAAAAAACATATTGAACCCCCACCAATAAAATCCAGTGGTAGAATTTTTATACACCCTATTGATAAAGCTAATATACTCAATAAACACTTTGCAGAAATATCACATATTGATGTTAGCACAGAACCCCAATTACCTCCACAAGGGCCAGGTCCACCATATTCAATAAACACAATTCATATCACACCCCAAGATGTGGAGGATCAATTAAAAAATATCAACCCATCTAAACCCCCTGGACCTGATGAAATTTCTCCACATATACTAAAAAATATAATTCCTTCAATTACTGCACCCTTAGCAAAATTGTTTAATGCATCATTAACCAATAAACAGCTTCCTCATATATGGAAACTCTCAAATATTACACCAGTCTATAAAAATAAAGGGAGTCCTGAAGAGCCAGGAAACTACAGGCCAATTGCTTTAACAAGCATTCTTTGCAAGATTATGGAAAAAATTATATTTAAATATCTTTACAACTATATGCTAGAGCATAATCTTCTATCTAAAAATCAGTCTGGATTCCAACCTGGAGACTCCACTGTAAATCAACTTCTAGAGATATACAATACTATTATAAGCAGTTTAGACCAGGGTAAAGATGTAAGATTTGTATTCTGTGATATATCAAAGGCATTTGACAGGGTCTGGCATAAGGGATTATTATATAAGCTTAAGCAAAATGGTATTGCAGGAAATTTATTGGACTGGATTGAAAATTATCTTACTGATCGTGAACAAAAAGTTTTATTAGAAGGGTACTCCTCAGTTAGAGAAAGTATAAATGCAGGTGTTCCACAAGGCTCTGTATTAGGACCATTTCTCTTCTTAGTATATATCAATGACATAACTGTAAATTTAGAAAATCAAATTAGGTTATTTGCAGATGATACTTCTTTGTTTGTTATTGTAGACTCTGATACATTAGCCCCTACCATCTCTTTAATAGATGACTTGGAAAAAATTAAACAATGGTCCAGACAATGGATGGTGGATTTTAACCCTAATAAAACTGTAAATGTTAATTTTACACGGTCAAATAAATCACATCCACAAATTTCATTTGGTCACACACATAACTACATAGAACAGAAACAAAGTCATTGTCACCTTGGACTTATAATGCAATCCAATGGCGGTTGGTCCGAACATATCTCCAAAATATATGACAAAGCATGCCAACGTTTAAATGTTCTTCGCACACTCAAATATAAACTAAACAGGGATTCCCTTATTAAAATTTATATTGCATTCATTAGACCTATTTTAGAATATGGTAATGTAGTGTGGGATAATTGTACACAGGAGCAGAGTAATCTATTAGAAAGTGTACAAGTAGAGGCTGGGCGTATCATTACTGGACTAAGGCGCAATTCTTCGAAACAAAATTTATATACAGAATTAGGATGGGAAACACTGAGTGAAAGAAGAACTATAAACACAAGCTTACACTTATGTACAAAATACTTAATAATTATACACCTGAATATTTGCATGATATGGTTAAACAGTGTCTACCTGTTTCACACAATTATGCTTTACGCAATAGTAATTTGTATCACATACCAATCACTAGAACAGTTGCATATTATAATAGTTTTTTACCATCTACAATTAAGTTATGGAATGATTTGCCAGATAGCACGAAATCTGCAACAAGTGTAGCTAAATTCAAACAAAGTATTCAAAATAAAAATCTTGATGATAAAATAAAATCAAAATTATACAGTTACGGACAAAGGAAATTAAATATATTCCACTGTCAGTTGAGAAACTTGTCAAGTAATCTTAATGCAGATTTGTTTAATCATAACTTAGTTGGTTCACCTAAATGCTTAAAATGTGGTTATTCTTTTGAAGATTCTGTTCATTTTTTCTTTCAATGCCCATGTTATGATCTTGCCAGGAACTCTTTGATCACATATATGATTGATCATGACATACCAAGAGATATCAATATTGTATTGTCTGGTTATGATTGTCTATCTCTTAAAGAAAATTTGTTATTATTTGATCAAGTTCATAATTTTATAAAAAATACTAAAAGATTTTAGAATGTGAAAATGTAATAAGCATTAATGTGCAGCATGTACACTGAAAGTACATATACATATATGGCTCTGAGCCTCTTCCCCTTTTCCGTTATCCCCACCCTCTTTTTTTTTTTCTCTCTCTCTCTCTTTCCTTTCATTATTCCACCTTATTGTTCAATTCCCCTCTTTTTTCAATTTTGTACATTGTATCCTCCTTAAAAATTAGTCTAAAATACATGTCTTTGCAAAAGTTATGATATATATTATTGTAACATTTCATGATTTGTACCTTGATCTTTAATGGAGAGAACTTATATAGGCCATTTTGCCTGCTGTTCAATCCATATTCATTGTATATACATTTATGTATATCATGAATAAAATACTTCTTAAACTATCTTATTTTCCATTAATTTTCAGACAATATTGGAAACCAAATATCAAAACATGTACAGGCAGTTATTGTATTTTAAAAATGTATCTTTCTGCTAGGGATTCACGCAGTACATTTGTTATTTGTTTTTATCATAATGTTATTTCTGTATATCAGTTGCACAAATTAATACCTCAGTGTGCTCCTCAATGTATCTTAGGGTGTGATCCTTCAGTTCTTGCTGGCTGTAGGTTACAGCTGCCTGCATACAGTCACAAGCATTCTGTACACTTAGATTGTCAATAAGGAAATCCCCACATAACTGGAAGAAAAGAATTAATGTAATGTATGTAGTAAACTTACAAATAATATGCATGCAGTCTTTGTGATAAGATTTCTGAAGTGATTCAAGTGAACATTAAAGTAATTTATGTACATATGCCATCAAATATGCTGTAAAATAATATGATTTCCTTTTCCATTCATTCTATTGTTTAATTAGAGGTTGTGTAATCAGAAACTTCAACTTTTATTTACCTTTCTGAGTTCATCCAGGCCATATTCAAGGGCTGAAGCTAAGGTGTCAATAGCCTATAATTAATTGCAGAATAAAATCAATATTTTACACACTTGAAAGATATGCTTGTTCGTATCACTCTAGTGTATAAGCAACTACAAAGATTTTTTTTCAGATATGCATACCCTGGCATTTTCAATGCAAAGTTGCATTAAAAGATAAATAATTTTGTTTGTATCAATTGCAGTAATTAAAACTGTGTTATAATCTATGTCACACAATGCTTAAAATTAACTCACAATCTTTGGTGTGAGAGTAACACAATTTGTATAAATAAATTCCATCATGGCAGTGAAAATTTCTGGTGAGATGTCAGTCAGTACAAATGGTACATTGGCATTCTGAGCCCCCTCCCCTCGCTGTGCCTGGTCACTGAACATTGCCTTGAACACAGCACATCGAGTAGAGAGAATACATCTGTGAGCATATATTGGTTTTCTGTTGGGTCCTATCAAAAATTTGATGTCACTGCAATAATAACGAAAGGAATTTAAAAATTTTAATTATTTTTAAATAATAATGTGTTAGTTTGTAGGGATGCACTTTTTTTGGTATAATGGTATATATCATGATTTTTTACTGCACAATATGTATCGTGATACAAAGATTAAAATTCCAGTACTTACTATGTTATTATAAATTCTGGACATAATGATTTTTTTGTTAAGACTTTTGAATTACAATCACTGGAAGTGTAAAAAGTGTTGTAAAACAGTTAAACAATGGCATCCTAGCATCCAAAAATGCTTTACTAAAATATAAATGAAAATGAAAAAAGTGAAGGTGTGTTTTCAAAATATATTAGTTAGGAAAATTATGGATATTTATCTAAAATTATAGAAAAAACTGCATGTAAAAATATCATGATATTATTGGAAAAAATTGTGATATATCATAATACAAAACTTTTGTTCATACCCATCCTTTTTGGTTTACTAAACTTTCAATGAAAGTAAATACCAATTTTAAAAGAGTGAAATAAATAAAAACAAAAAATAGTTTGCTAGTACGGGGCAATCTGTCATTTTTATCTAATTATCTAAATTGTTTGTCATTCATATTTTGTGAACAAAAAATGGATGTATCACATAACATTTATATCTTCTAAATTTTGCACATTTAGTGCAATTAAATCCTTGAGTATGACATGTAAATTTTTAGAAATTGTTAACAGTTATTTTAAAATATATGTTCAATGAAAAGTGACATCCAAATAAGAACGCTTTATGGTGGTTAAATATGATATATATAATGCATTCATGGAATAAGGGCTTGGTTTTGTATGTTGTATAAATATTTCTATCTGCATTTAATGTACATGTATATACATTAGAAATATTTTTAAAACTGTTTCCTAGCTGTTTTCATTTTAATCATTGAAGTTTAACAGACATTGAAGAACACACAATGCACTTGATATATCATATTGAAACTGAGCTCCTGTGATTCACTGCAAGTCAGTTAATACATTGTACATAGTTGCATGCATGACTACATGTACATCATGTACAGGTGTATTTACAAGGAATTCTTATATACATGTATAAGTCAAAAAGCCTTAAATCTACACATGTAAATACAAATTATGATTGAGCAAAGAACTATTATTTGACTTCATAATTTAAAATATGATTATTCTATTCTTGAAAACTTTTCAAGGTTACACTTTGCCTAGTATAATTGAAACAGTTTGAGAAACAATTGTGCTTTTGTTTTCCTGGTTCAGTTTTCATATTAATAGTTTTTCGCCTACCTGTGGTCTTTGCAATTCACCATCTTTTTCATTTGTGCCGCAAAATCTAGAATATGTCCCTTCATTAATTTTTCGTTGGCCATCTTGTCTCTGGGTAGTGACAACTGACAAGTGAAAGTAGAAAAACCGTTATCAGATAGAGAAAGTTTACAGTGTTGTCAAGCACCTGCACCGGAAGTAGCGTTTGAAGAATTTTACCTCCGATCGTAGGAGAGCTTTTCAAGCAGTAGACACTAACGACTAACTTAAATGTGAATGATGAAGGCTTAAAGAATAATGTTTCCTTGACTCAGAGACTTGTAGAGGAGGTTTCATTCTGACTTTTCGAACATTTGTGTGCTCTATATATTTCTACATAAGAATCTGTTAAATGATAATGCTCTAATTTCATCTTTTCAAAAGACTTCACAGGAAGACATTTGCAGAGGTCAATTATTCTTATGTAAGAAAAGCAGTGTAAACCTGACTAGGTACCATGTCTATATATTTTAATTAGTAAAGTAAATTATTTTTGCTCTTTTTGAGGATACCGAAGGATCAGCTAAGGGTGGGAGGATGAACTATGCCAAGTACATCACCAGAATCAGTGCTGCCAGACGGCACTCCGCCATCAGAATTCTTTGTAAGTATATACAGACAGTACTCCTCGAAAACTACTAAGGGACATGATAAAATATACTATGCTTGCTTGTGATGCAAAAAATATTGATACCCCAGTTATTCTCTTAGCGGACGGTATATTTAAATTCTGTTATTGCTCCTTCGGTCGTTTGTGCATGTTTAGGTGAATCCTTTTTGAAAAGTCTGGCAATGGAGATTGTCTTATTTTTGCTAGCCAAATGTAACTCCTCATCAGTTTGTTTTCCTTTCAAAAGTTGGGATTGCTTACTTTGAGTATGTGTCATTGACAAAAATGAAAGGTGGATAAATTAAAAATCATTCAACAAACATAAACAGGTCTAGGCAGCCTCCGTTTTTGGAGCATAGAGTATTAGACAAAAAATTCAGTATGGTGACCATTTTTTTTTCCATATATATAGAAAATTGTGATGCATTGTAGAATATAGCTTATCTTTCAAAATCAGAGGATATAACGCAGGTAATTTTCAAACACCTCATGTCTACCTTAAGTGGAAAAGTGCATAAACCAGTTAAAGTACAGGCAAATAAAAGTTAAAACATTAAACTATTGGTTGTATTAGGTGATTTGGGATTCTATATCTAGTTCTTTTACATTTTCGTTTTCGAAGTTGGCTCTTTTTGTTCTCCCTTTTTACCCCATTCTTTCTTTTTCTTTTACTTTATTTTTTTTATTTATTTTTCCCCTTGCTTTTAAAACAAATAAAAAGGTGCTTTAGAATTACTCTTCATACCTTCTTTTAAATTTATTTTAAAAAGGAGAAGAAAGGAAGCACAGAGGGAATAATGATTTAAAGGCAAAAAATTGTCCTATAAAATAAGTAGCTATATTATGAATAATTATAAAAAAATAAGATAACTGATTAAAAAGAAAATTAATATACATAAGTAAATACATTGTATATACATAGAATATTAAATATCTGTATGAAGTGTCTAAGGATTTTTATATTATTAATGAAATAATTAAACTTGATATATATACAATATACATGTATGTAAATTAATAAATATTTTACAGTAATTACACAAATATTGTAATATTGTACTAATATATTTTTTTTTCCAGCATTATTTGTAGTTTTATCTTTAATTTGTTTTGGTTGATTATTAAATCAGCATAGCGTACGTGGTTCAGAAACCATTTTAATAAATACAAGAGTTAATTGCTGTAAGAGTACATGTATACTGCTGTTTGTTTTGAAAAGCCCGGTAGGTATCCTATGATTTTGAGGATGAAAACTTTCCTCCAAAAATGGAGGCTCTCTAGACCTGATATATGGGGAATCAAATTATTATTACTGTAAACCAACTATTATTCGTGTCAACTTTTATTTGCGATTTCTCAGTTTGAAATCAATCCGCCACGATTAATTTTCGTGACTGAGGAAACATTCTCTACAAAAACAAAGCAAAATAAATGGTTCGCAGTTATTAATATTCGCAAGTTAAAGTAGCGAATACTCGCGAATATTTCTCACATGCAAATAAAATTTGGTTTACAGTATATGTTGCAAGTTATAAATCTGCAATGTAGGAGGTACAAGATAACATTATTTCGATGATCCACTTTAACTGAAAGTTAGGTGATGCCAATGCTGCTTATAGAATTTCCATATTTCATTGTTTACAAATATCCATTTCCTGGACCATAAAGTTAAGAAACATGTAAAACTAAGCTATCAGAAAAGTTAATTACCAAAAGTTTCTTACTTATTTGTACCAAAAGAAAACATAAAATGACTTAATTAAATTTAATGAGGATTATCTATGCAAAGGTACGGTCACGGTAGCTCAGTTGGTAGAGCGCTTGCTCTGTGATCGGAAGGTTGTGTGTTTGAATCATGGCCGCGACTGACCCAAGTCGATAAAAAGTAGGTAGCAACTGTTCCTTCACTAAAGGCTTAGCACTTTGAAGTGAAAATTGTGGGTCCTTCAGATGAGACTTTAAAAACTGAGGCCCCATGTCATGGTAAGCATTGGCACGATAAAGAATCCTCACTACTCAATGGCCCTGAGTTCCGAGTAAAGGTCTAAATTTGAAGCCCTTAATTCACCGATATATGGTGACATCTCTAAATGAGTGAAAAATTCTCAAACAGGATGTAAAGCAACATACAATCCACCAATCTATGTAAAGGTCAGTAGGCTTTTACCGGTATATGAAACTACAAATATATTTATTGCATATTTATCCGTTTATAGGATAAAACATGTACCTTTATGTTAATTGATAATTGGGCTGCATGCATGTCTTGATAAGAAGCATTCTTTTACACAATTGATTTGTAAGCAATGAATGAAAAATTTTCTTTCTGTGTAAAAATCATGATACAGATATTTAATTTCTATGTTAATAAATTTAAACAGTTCAATTCATCTACTCGGTATGAGAAGCTATTTCTTTCAATGATTAATTTACCAATGAAAAAAAAGTACTTTAAGCGTACATTTGCTGGTTTTATTTCCCCAAATAGATTAATAAATTAATTTACTGTGTTCAATTAAAATTGAGTGTGATTTTTAGGTCACCTGAGTCACTCAGGTGACCTATTGCTATCCGTTCTTGTCCGTCGGCATGTGTCGTGTGTTAACATTTGAACATTTTTAGCTTCTTCTCTGAAACCGCTCAACCAATTTCAACCAAATTTGGCATATAGCATCTATGGGTGAAGGGGAACAAAAATTGTGAATTTCATGGTCCCTGCCCCCCCCTGGGGCCTGAGGGATGGGGCTAAAACCACCAAAAATAATGCAATCTTTAAAAATCTTCTTCTTTACTCCAGGACATCAAGCAGTCAAACTGTTGGCATCATTGTAACAAGCATTGAGCCCTCTACCAAAATTGTGAAATTCATGGCCCCAGGGTCAGGGGTTCTGGCCCCAGGGTGGGGCTATGTAGATCATATAGTGAAAGTGCATTATTTCTTTGAAAATCTTCTTCTGTGCTCCTGGGTATTAAATAAAGTAACTAAGTACATAGTTATGAAGAGCAAGAGTGCCTCTTCCAAAATTGTGAAATTCATGGCCCCAGGGTCAGGGGTTCTGGTGTTAGGGCGGGGCTCTATTGATTATATAGTGAAAATGCATTAATTCTTTGAAAATGTTCTTCTGTGCTCCTGGGTATTAAATAAGTTAACTAAGTACATAGTTATGATGAGCAAGAATGCCTCTACCAAAATTGTGAAATTCATGGCCCCAGGGTCAGGGATTCTGGTGTTAGGGTGGGGCTATATAGATCATATAGTGAAAGTGCATTATTTCTTTGAAAATCTTCTTCTCTGCTCCTGGGTATTAAATAAAGTAACTAAGTACATAGTTATGAAGAGCAAGAGTGCCTCTTCCAAAATTGTGAAATTCATGGCCCCAGGGTCAGGGGTTCTGGTGTTAGGGTGGGGCTCTATTGATTATATAGTGAAAATGCATTAATTCTTTGAAAATCTTCTTCTGTGCTCCTGGGTATTAAATAAAGTAACTAAGTACATAGTTATGATGAGCAAGAATGCCTCTACCAAAATTGTGAAATTCATGGCCCCAGGGTCAGGGGTTCTGGCCCCAGGGTGGGGCTATATAGATCATGTAGTGAAAGTGCATTATTTCTTTGAAAATCTTCTTCTCTGCTCCTGGGTATTAAATAAAGTAAATAAGTAGTTAGTTATGATGAGCAAGAATGCCTCTTCTGAAATTGTGAATTTCATGGCCCCAGGGTCAGGGGTTCTGGCCCCAGGGTGGGGCTATGTAGATCACATAGTGAAAGTGCATTATTTCTTTGAAAATCTTCTTCTGTGCTCCTGGGTATTAAATAAAGTAACTAAGTACATAGTTATGAAGAGCAAGAGTGCCTCTTCCAAAATTGTGAAATTCATGGCCCCTGGGTCAGGGGTTCTGATGTTAGGGCGGGGCTCTATTGATTATATAGTGAAAATGCATTAATTCTTTGAAAATCTTCTTCTCTGCTCCTGGGTATTATTTAAACAAACAAAGTGCATGGTTATGATGCATAAGGATGCCTTTTCAAAAATTGTGAATTTCATGGCCCCAGGGTCAGGGGTTCTGGTGTTAGGGCGGGGCTCTATTGATTATATAGTGAAAATGCATTGATTCTTTGAAAATCTTCTTCTCTGCTACTGGAGATTATTTAAACAAACTAAGTGCATGGTTTTGATGCATAAGGATGCCTTTTCAAAAATTTTGAATTTCATGGCCCCAGGGTCAGGGGTTCTGGTGTTAGGGCATCGCTCTATTGATTATATAGTGAAAATGCATTGATTCTTTGAAAATCTTCTTCTCTGCTACTGGAGATTATCTAAGCAAACTAAGTGCAAGATTATGATAGGCAAGGATGCCTCTTCCAAAATTTTTAAATATATGGCCTTAGTTTTTGGGGTTCTTGAGGAAAGGGGGGGGGGGGCTCTATTGATTATATAGTGGGAAAGCATTAATTCTATTAATTAATCAGTAATTAATCCTGTCTGCTCCTTAGTGTTGAGCTGATAAATAAATTGCTTAGCTATGATGAAAATGGGAGCTTCGAACAGAATTTTTAAATCTTGTGGTCCTAGGGTCAGGGGTTCTGGCATAATGGGGGGGGGGGGGGGCTTTTGAATTTCTTGACCCTTGGTCTTGGGTTCTGGTGTTAGGGTAAGGCTTTGTTGAATCTGTAGTGAAAATGCATTGTACCTGTGAAATTCTTCTCTGCTTCTGGGCATATCGGAAGAAAACTGAGTAAAAGTTTAAATGATATAAGTAAGCGTATTTCTACAAGATTTTTGAACATCTGGACCATTTGTCTAAGCATTCTAGTCCTGGGCAGGGCTCTATTAATTTGTATTCTACTGAGAGAAGTTATTCCCCTTTTCCGTTCACCTTTGATAATTAATCACTGTAAATAATGTATTTGAAAGGTTAATAGAATAAGATAATTATGCAAGAATGTTTATCATATAATTCAAAAAGTATTTTCTTAGTTTTAATAATCAGGTAGACCTGTAAGTAATAGATAAATAAAAATGAGACAAAAATAACTTATCTTATTAAAAGTTCTTCAAAGACCATAAGAGAGGTCAATGCTAGAGGTCTTAATATGGGTTTAAAAATAGTACAGAAGCACTAATAGTTTGTTAATAGTCTGCATGGTGATAGTGTTAAGTGGGGGACAGGTTAGAACTTAATTTATGAGTTGATACTGAATACTAGACTAATTATTTTGTTGATCCTGATCTTCCTACTGCTCTTGCTTTAGGGCAACAAAGCTTCATCTATCAGTGTATTCAACTTCTAAATTGTTGTATTATACTCAGGTGACCGTTAAGGCCCTTGGGCCTCTTGTTTGTTTCTCCTTGTGGCTTTACATTTAACATGAAGTATGCTGCTGCACATGATTGATACTCTTGTCTGGAGAAAATGACCAGTTTTCCTGTCAGAAGTAAACTTAAGGATATTAAGAGAAACCACAGTGTGCTGTTGAATTTTATCAGCTGTTAATTACTGTGACCAAGCATACATTAGTACCATATATTTTCAAAACCTGGTATATTCATACATTTGCATATGGTTAGATGTACCAATAACCTAAATATTTTAGAAATATCATTCATTGTGGATTTTTTGTAAAGAAAATCAAGTTTTTATTTTAAAAAATATGGATTATAAAAGGTTTCTAACAAAACGGAGTCTTAAGAGAGAGGATAATTTTTTACGAATAGTATCCAAGATATATACTAAAGGTAAGATTTACTATTAAGCTTCAGGTCTGTAAATAGAAATACATTATGATATATATACACTATAAACATTAATTGTTATAAAACCTCGAGATCTGTCAATGTACTATCTAAAATGTTCTTATGTTTGTTCAGCGTACTTGCTTCAAAAGATTTTTCAATCAACAGCGATACAAAGAAATTTGCAAACAAAGCTAGATGATAAATGTACATGTATGAAGTCCTGTTAGTATTTTCATTTGATCATTGTTATGGGTGCATGAATCTATTTGGTAACTAAATATCATAATGAAATAAAATAAAATTAATGTGTTTAATTACAAGGTTACAAGACAAAAAAAAAGCTTAACAGCTGGAAAGTATTGGATTTATACAATGAACTTTTGGTAATTGAAACCTTAACACACACAAAATCTATCAAATATGTAGCAATTTTAAAGTTAATTTTTAGAAAAAAAAAATATACAAGCCTTTTCTGTGCAGATCAGTACACAAAGTAAATTGTCAAAGCCATTGAGCTTCTGTGATATGCATAAAAATTAAGGGAAAATTGCTTTTATTACATATGTGATGTAATAAATATTACCATGATCAAGGACTGGCAATTAATTGTATGTGCTTTTTTCACGTGCAAAAAGACTTCTTCTTTTTTTAAACACTTAATTGTTCCAGAAAAGTTATTTGAAAAAAAAAAATGATAAGAACAAGATAGTCAGTTGAGAATAAAAAGTTTCAAAATATTTTTTGCATCTTTATTTTATGGCAATTGTAAAATTTGAGGTAAGGCAGGTGGTATTTTAAATGGATTCTATTGAATCTGACACAGCTATGGCAAAGTGCCTCAAAAATCTGTTTCTCAAATTATGTTCATGACTGTTACAGTAACATGTTACCTTTCTCTTATATTATATAAAACATTATCAAAAACTTTGAACTTTAGAACTAAGAACACATGCTAAGAGAAAGAGGGAGGTTTTTTTTTTAATTTGTAAATAAGATGCAGGTATTCTAAGAGTTTATGTGACAATGATTGACCCTAGTTTCCTCTGTTACAGCTGCAATAGTACAGGAGAACCCCTCTCTGATTACCATGGCTGGGGGAATGCCTAATCCACAGACATTTCCTCTACTTGATGCCAGTCTTACACTCAGGTGAGAGAGACTTGTAAATAGGTCTTGATTTTAAAATTCAAAATTAAAATCTTAATTTTTCCTTTGTGAGTGAGGAAGGGGGGGGGGGGGGGGGAGGGGGACAGATCCTGAAGCATACAACTATATATGTCCAGTTTTTTTTTGTAGTAACTGTATTTTAACCTATGAAAATCTCCTTGATTCCACTTCTATATGTAGCTTCACATGATAAATTAATAATCAATAGTTTTTACAGGAGAGTTGTCTAAGCTAAACTTCATACTCCATGTTTATTATGTAATATCACATTAAAACTTCCAAGAAGAGGTGTAATTTAGAAAAAAAGAGTTCTTTTTCATTCAGTTTTAAGGCATTTAAAGTAACTCAACATATAACTACATTTGTATATGTAAAATGGGTTACTTTTCAATTTACTCTAAAGGGACACAACTTATGAAACTAAATGTAATGTGAAAGAAAAGGGGAATAAGTAATATTGTCACACAGTTATATTCAGTTAAAAGTGTCTTACTGTATATTTGTATGTGTGAATGCATATTTATTTCTTATTATTTTATTAAGAATGACTCTCATTATTTTTGATCTTTTTTTAAGGGATGGAACAAAGATTGACCTGGATGCCAAAGCAATGAAAACTGCCTTACAGTATTTACCAACAAAAGGGTAAGAAATTAATGAAATCTTGATTTTAGTTCAGTGAAATTGTGTGAAGTCCATATTGAGGAAATTTAAATAAATAAACAGCAGTTATGGAAAATATATTCACATTTAAGCAACACTTAAATTCAGTTCCTGAAAATTTAAAGTTATCTTCAATTGTTTTATGGTATATTAATTGTCTGATATTTTTTTCATTGTGAATTGTTTTTGTTGTAGGTTTCAACCCTTAATTAATTTTATAAATGACCTACAGTTCAAAATTCATAATCCTCCAACATACAAGGCAGATGACCACCCAGGTCAAATGGATGTTATTATCACCACAGGAAGTCAAGATGGCTTGTGTAAGGTAGCTAGTGCTTCACAAAATTGAATAGTAATTAGTCAAAAATTCAGTGGCATGCTTAGGGGGTTGAAATTCTGCATATACTGAAAAATTGAAAAATTCATTCAAAAGTTCCCTCTTGTACTGTTTCTGTATTATACATGTAAAATCTGAAGGAAAAATATGGATTTTATCAGGATACAGTCATTCTGCTGAGTATAATAACAATAAACTTTGAACTACATGTATTATCAAAACATAATAAAAATCCAAATTAGCTTAAATTACTTAACAATAAACATTTATATTTTTTTTTTTCAGTGGCTGAATTGACTTGTAAACTGTAAACAGAGATAATGAATGTTTCTTTACTTCTTACAGGCTTTTGAGGCTATGGTAACAGAAAATGACAACATTTTGGTGGAACTCCCTGCATATTCTGGAACTTTAGCAATTGTTTGTTCCATTTTATATTTCTGACTATTTACTGATATTTTTTTATTATTATGAGTATAATCATATATGACCCTGCATTCTAAATTTTGATGTATAAAATTTAATCAGTTTTGCTTAAACAGTTCTCTCTCTCTCTTTTTAGCTCACCTGAGCCGAAGGCTCAAGTGAGCTTTTCTGATCACTTTTTGTCCGGCGTCCGTCTGTCTGTCTGTCTGTCTGTCTGTAAACTTTTAACATTTTCGACTTCTTCTCAAGAACCACAAGGCCAATTTCAACCAAACTTGCCACAAAGTATTCTTGGGTGAAGGGGATTCAAGTTTGTTAATATGAAGGGCCACGCCCTTTTTCAAGGGGAGATAATAAAGAATTAGTGAAAAATTAATAGCATCTTTTAAAAATCTTCTTCTCAAGAACCATAGGGCCAGGAAAGTTGAAACTCATGTGGAAGCATCCTCAGGTAGTGTAGATTCAAGTTTGTTCAAATCATGACCCCCGGGGGTAGGGCGGGGCCACAATGGAGGATCAAAGTTTTACATAGAAATATATAGGAAAAACCTTTAAAAATCTTCTTCTCAAGAACAGCAAAGACATGTTGAGTCATATTTATATGGAAGCATCCTCAGGTAGTGTAGATTCAAGTTAGTTCAAATCATGACCCCCGGGGGTAGGACGGGGCCACAATGGAGGATCAAAGTTTTACATAGAAATATATAGGAAAATCCTTAAAAAATCTTCTTCGCAAGAACAGCAAAACCATAATGAGTCATATTAATATAGAAGCATCCTCAGGTAGTGTAGATTCAAGTTTGTTCAAATCATGACCCCCGGGGGTAGGGCGGGGCCACAATGGAGGATCAAAGTTTTACATAGAAATATATAGGAAAAACCTTTAAAAATCTTCTTCTCAAGAACAGCAAAGACATGTTGAGTCATATTTATATGGAAGCATCCTCAGGTAGTGTAGATTCAAGTTAGTTCAAATCATGACCCCCGGGGGTAGGGCGGGGCCACAATGGAGGATCAAAGTTTTACATAGAAATATATAGGAAAAAGCTTTAAAAATCTTCTTCTCAAGAACAGCAAAACCATAATGAGTCATATTAATATAGAGGCATCCTCAGGTAGTGTAGATTCAAGTTTGTTCAAATCATGACCCCCGGGGGTAGGGCGGGGCCACAATGGAGGATCAAAGTTTTACATAGAAATATATAGGAAAAAGCTTTAAAAATCTTCTTCTCAAGAACAGCAAAGCCATAATGAGTCATATTAATATAGAAGCATCCTCAGGTACTGTAGATTCAAGTTTGTTCAAATCATGACCCCCGGGGGTAGGGTGGGGCCACAATGGAGGATCAAAGTCTTAAATAGAAATATATAGGATAATATCTTGGAAGCATCCTCAGGTAGTGTAGATTCAAGTTTGTTCAAATCATGACCCCCGGGGGTAGGGTGGGGCCACAATGGAGGATCAAAGTCTTAAATAGAAATATATAGGATAATATCTTGGAAGCATCCTCAGGTAGTGTAGATTCAAATTTGTTCAAATGATGACCCCTGGGATAGGGAGGAGCCACAATGGGGGATCAAATTTTTACAAAGGAATATATGGGAAATTTTTTTGAACATCTTCTCAAGTACAAGAAAGCCATTTGTTATATTGACATGGAAGCATCATCAGGTAGTTTAAAATTCAAGCCCCCCCCCCCCCCCCCCCCCCCGGTGGTAATCTTTTCAATACTGAACTGATTTGTGCTTTTGCCTAGCCAATGTGCTCAGGTGAGCGATGTGGCCCATGGGCCTCTTGTTTAAAATTTGCAATCATGGTGTAAACTAAAATGCTTCTGAAATATATTTTATAAGGACTGATATTCCTTTATATGAGACTATTTTGCCATTCAAAAATCTTATTATACATGTATGTAACTTCCAGCAATTTTTTTCATCTGGACATTTATGCAAAAATGTAGAAGATCTTGTTTTCAAAAACAATTATTTGCAATATGAATATGTTTGCAGGTGAAGCCAATCACATCAAATATAATCCCAGTGGAGTCGGACATGAATGGCCTAAATCCATCATCTCTTCGTCAAGCTTTGTCTAGATGGTCCCCTTCTGAAGCCAGAAAACCTGGTTCTGATGCCCCAAAACTCCTGTATCTTGTCCCCAATGGGGGGAATCCCACAGGGGTGGGGCTTACATTGGACAGAAAAAAGGAAATCTACAAGATTGCTCAGGAGTATGATTTGATCATCCTAGAAGATGATCCATATTTCTATCTGCAGTTTACAAAGGTAAGAGGAAATTACTGATCACAGACTACTAGACACAGAGAGTGATATGCTTACTTAATTATGTTAACTGTAGAATGATGCATTAAATTTTTGATCAGGGGCGCAGTAATTCATGAATATAAAGTTTAATTCATATTTCTTTAATGTATGACATATCTTTTCTGTATACATATGTCAGATGTCTTTTCAGCTTAAAAATTAATATAAATGTAAAATATGTTTCTCTTTTATCCTCAAATATTTTTTGGGAAAAACCTTGAAAGTATCATGCTCAGAGAAAAATATGGAGACAGTTCTATTGCAAATATACATACAATGTACATTCCTAAAGCTATTTAGTAATATGAGTTTCATGTCAAATTAAAGCCATTTGTTCCCAGTTTCCTGTCAATGGACACTGATGGTAGAGTGGTGAGGTTTGATTCCTTCTCCAAGATCATCTCCTCAGGGTAAAAAATTGTCTTTCATCAAGTATATGTGCGTAGTAGTGTCTTTTGAACATAGAAAACAGGTTAACATATAAATAAGCCAATCTATTTTTAGCTCTTCTGAGCCAAAGGCTCAAAGAGCTAATGCTATGGCCATTTGTGCGGTGTGCGTAAACTTTTTAGAATATGGGCCATAACTCAAGAACCCCTTGGCCAATTATTGTCAAATTTGTCACAAGGTATCCTTGGCCCAAGGGCTCCCTTTTATACTAAAACTGGGGTTGTGACCCTTTAACAAGGGGAGATAATTAGGAAAATAGAAACAAAGTACTGGTTGCTAAAAAATCTTCTTCTCAAGAACCACTGGGCAGATTATCACCAAACTTACACAAAAGGATGAGGATATGCTGTAGATTAAAATTTGCACGGGGATTTACCCTTGGGCAAAGGGCATGATCTCAAGGTCACTTCAAAGTTGACCAAAAATTACATTTTATTAAAATGTTGATATTTTGTTTACTATAAGGACTAGGATCATCAAATCTTGTCAGTTGATGCATCTAAGGACCTCATATCATGTTGACTCAAAAGTAGGTCATGGTGACCTACTTTTTAAATTTTGCGGCTATTCTTTTTCAAAATGATTTAGAGGCATATTTTGAACAATTTAAGGCATATGATCATCAAACTTTGTCAGTTTATGTATCTTAGGTCCTCAAAGTATGTCAACTAAAAAGTAGGTCACCTTGACCTACTTTTTGAATTTTATGGCTTATCTTTCTCAAAACAATTAAGGTCATTAATTCGAATACCGAGAGGTTTAGAATCATTAAATCTTGTAAGATGATGCATCTCGGGGCCATAAAACATATTTATTAAAAAGTAGGTCACAGTGACCTACTTTTTGAACTTTGCAGGCATTTGATTTCAAAGCGTTTTAGAAGCATAATTTGGACATTTTTAGTTTTATGATCATAAAACTTTGTAAGTTGATGCATCTTGGGTCCTCAAAAAAGGTCAACTGAAAAGTAGGTCATCGTGACCTACTTTTCAATTTATATGACTGTAATTAAATATTTCAGGTACTAATTGGCTTAGAATCATCAAACTTTGTCAGTTGATGCATCTTGGGTCTTCGGAGTAGGTCGACTAAAAAGTAGGTCACAGTGACCTACTTTTGAAAATTTATGGCTTTAATTAAATATATGGGGTACTAATTGGCTTTGAATCATCAAACTTTGTCAGTTGATGACTTTTGGGTCTTCGGAGTAGGTCGACTAAAAAGTAGGTCACCATGACCTACTTGCAAAAATTTATGGCTTTAATTAAATATTTTGGGTACTAATTGGCTTAGAATCATAAAACTTTGTCAGTTCATGTGTCTTGGGTCCTCGGAGTGCAACAACTGAAAAGTAGGTCATGGTGACCTACTTTTGAAAATTTATGGCTTTAATTAAATATTTCGGGTACTAATTGGCTTAGAATCATTAAACTTTGTCAGTTGATGCGTCTTGGGTCCTCGGAGTACAACAACTGAAAAGTAAGTCACGGTGACCTACTTTTAAAAATTTATGGCTTTAATTAAATATTTTGGGTACTTTTTTGCTTAGAATCATCAAACTTTGTCAGTTGATGCTTCTTGGGTCCTTGGAGAACAACTGAAAAGTAGGTCACGGTGACCTACTTTTGAAATTTTATGGCTGTATTTAATATTTTCAGGAATTATTTGGCTTAGAATTGTCAAAAGTAGGTCACTGTGACCTACTTTTGAAAATTTATGGCTTTAATTAAATATTTTCGGTACTTATTGGCTTAGAATCATCAAACTTTGTCAGTCGATGTATCTTTGGTCCTCGGAGTACAGCAACTGAAAAGTAGGTCACCGTGACCTACTTTTGAAAATTTATGGCTTTAATTAAATATTTCAGGTACGAATTGGCTTAAAATCATCAAAATTTGTCAATTGATGCATCTTGGGTCTTTGGAGTACAACAATTGAAAAGTAGGTCACTTTGACCTACTTATAAAATTTTATGGTTATAATTTTAGAAAATATTTTAGGTATTAATTGGCTTAGAATCATCAAACTTAGTTGATGGGTCCTCAGACAATGACAAGTGATAAGTGGGTCACCATGACCAACTCTCAGGTACTAATTGGCTTAGAATCATCTTGGGTTCTCAGAGTGTGAATTGGAATTTCAAGGGTTTATCTAAATATACAGGATACTTCGAGGGTTCAAATAGAAGTGATAGGTTGCACAGTTTATCAGAAGAGCGATTCAAGGCCCATGGGCCTCTTGTTGAACATGACCTGGAGTGTTTTAATTTGCAGTAAATAAATACTTAGAGGGATGGCAAATTCGAACACAGAATTGGTAATTGGTTAATGTGAGACTTCTGACCCATTAACCATGCAGTTAATCATATCAAAATACATTTTCTTGACCTTATTTTTAAGTGGCTCTATTCATATAAACACAAGAAAACTAAGAAAAGACATCAGAAGTTAGCAACATTCTGTTTATCTTGATCAGGAAACTACATGTACATATTTTTATATCAATTTCAATAGACAAGAAAAAATTAAGAAAACCTGTGAAACATGCCTGAGAAATCAGACACTGATAATTTTCCAGAGTAGATGTCACACAATTTCATACAGCATTGTCACCATAATCAAAACACAGTGGGAACTTTCACTTAATTTACAATGTTTGTCTAATAATATAATTTGATAGATAACTGCAAAAGATAGACATACCCAAAATTCACAGAGTTTGTTGGTGATTTATTTAATATCAGTAAAGAATTACAGGATAATCAGGGTCACAACATGGTGTTTAAACAGTAATTGACACTTCACAAACTGACCAATTACCCCAAGATCAGCTTACATAGATTTGTGAAAATGCTAAATTATCAATGTTCTATTTAAAAAAATGATTTTTAAGAAAATTGTGTTCAAATTAACATATATTTTTTTTTTAGACTGATTACAGATTTTTCTAACTGATTACCATTGTTCTGACCAAGTAACTGGTTAATGGGTTACAAATTACTATCCCTGATAAAAACATGCACTAATGTACAAACTCTTAATTATTAAGGTCTTCCGTTGGAAACGGAAGACCTTAATAATTAAGAGTACAAATCTACTGATTCTGTTGTTTCTTTTCCACTATTATTATTATTTTTTTTTCTTACCGATTTTGTGCATCGATTTCTCGAGAACGCCTCGATAGATTTTCACGAAACTTTCAGCAATGATGGCAAATTATCTGAACTTTATGCTTTTTTTTTATTTTGTCGTCGTTACTTCCGGTCGCGAGATATGGCCAATTTTCCATTTTTAAAATGGCATTTTGTCTGCGAGTGTTCTCAAAAACGGTTGGAGATTGAGTCTTGAAACTTTCAGGGATGATAGATTGTGACTCGTAGATTTGAGAAACCTGTTTAGTTTTTGTTGCCGTGACGTCCGTTGTCCACCGGAAGTAGTTTAAAAATATGCAAATTTTCATTTTTTTCTTATTGAAATGTTTTTAATAGAGGCAAATAGACTGTTTCGAGTCATATTATTTCCACCGGAAGTTATTTCTTCCGAACCGGAAGTAGTCGAAAAAATGCTCATTTTTCCTCGAAACTTTGAGGGATGATTCCTCCACACTCAGTGAAGAATTAAAAGTCATTTTGACTACTTCCAGTCATACCGGAAGTGAATAAAAAATACCGGAAGTTGTTTGAAATTAATAGATTTCACTCTTTTATGAGTTGCTAAACAATTCTGAAGAATTGATATGAATATTTTTTACATTTAAAGTTGTTTTACTTTCTTTTAACAATCAAAATTTCCCAATCAAGATTTTATCAGAAATCAAACGGAAGACCTACTCATTGCTCGCAACGAGATCTCATCTAGTCATTATTATTTTTTTTTTTACAATTTAATAGAATGAGGTTAGGTTTTGTCACTGGACCTCAGCCTTTGGTAGAGAGATTGGAACTTCACTCACAATGCTCAGTGATGCATGCCAGTGGCATTTCACAGGTGTGTTTATTTCTATACTTTGACAGTAACTAATTTTAAGACACTGGTAAAAGTTTAGATCCGTACATGTAAGTATAAGTTTATGTGATGTCACAAGGGTATTTTGTTAACTGTTAGTGGAATCTGGTTATGCAGATTACACTTGTACCATTTGCTCAAAGGTATACCTTCACTAACTTTGCAGAGGAAATGCATATCAGAGTGTTGACTTGCATATTTTACATTGTAAATTCAGTATATCAGTGTTCATTACTGGAAGTGGCAGAAGTCTGAAGAGTTTGATACAGGCTCTTTGAACTTCCAAGTCAATAAATAGTTTGAATCTGTGATAATGTTTGAAATGGTTTAAAAAAATTGATTTAATGTGGATGTTTGTTGTAGATGATCCTTCATAAAATCCTGGAAAACTGGGGTCTAGAGGGGTTCTTAAAGCATACTGAAAATACAGTAGAATTTTATAAAAACAAGAGGGATCAGTGTCTAAAAACAATGGAAAAACATCTGTCAGGTATGTTAAGCTTTGGAATGTTGCTCCTTAAAGATACCCATGTTCATCTGTAGCCTCTTAATTTTAAAATATTTACAAATGTTGATATCGCTGCTAAAACTATCAAAGATGGATAAAAGGTAGCTCAGATGAAATCGACATGTTTAAAGCTTTGTGAAATGGAATAGGTGCAAGATTTATCTTTCCTTGTTGCCTCCTGACATTTTTTCTATTTTTATTGTGCAGGGTTGGCAGAATGGTCTGTTCCATCAGGAGGTATGTTTGTGTGGATCAGACTGAATGTGGAGGACTCATATAAACTTGTTACTGTCAAAGCTCGCAAGAAGGAGGTCTTGTTTGTTCCAGGAAATGTCTTTATGTTGGATAACACCAAGCCCTGTCCATACATCAGGGCCTCATATTCTAACTGTACTGAGGAACAAATGGACATAGTAAGACTCTTTTTTATTCCACATGCAAAGTGTCAGGTGAAAAGTTCAGGGTTTTCTTTTTCAAAATTTAATTACTATAAATTTCAGCACTGTTATGAACATTTGTTCTTATTTATTGTATTTCAGGCATTTCAACGATTGGCTGAAATATTACGAGAAGAGAACTAAAATAAAAGTTCAAGCTAGCTCTGAGTATATGTTTACCTGTTGCTGAGAGTTTACATAAATCTTTAGTGAGAAATGGTGATTCTTAATTTGCAAGAAAGAAGGAAACCAACATAATATTTTTTATCTGCCTGTAATAGAAAAAGAATTTCGATGAAGAATTCACTAACATGCATTCTTAATTTTTGTGTACATTTTTTAAATTGATTTATTTGATTGAACAATTTCTGTTTATATTGTTCAACTACACAAGATCCAACATGAACTTGAATGGATTTGAAGTTTATCTTTTGAGGGAATTATAGTGGGGTTTTTTTTATTGGATAATTTTGTACAAATATGGCATGAAATTACACAAAGTTTATCTATTTAGAAAATTACAATGTGTACAACCATGCCATGGTATTTATTTTTTTCAGAAATTTCTATTTGTTTACATAATATTTTAGATTAGTTTACAACTGTTTAAGATTAATCTAAGGGGTTTTAATTTAACCTATATTGATAGAAGTGCGATTTAATTCCTGTATTTTTGAGATTTTCTAAGGGAGGCCAAAAAGTCATGTTTTGTGTCAATACTCTAGAAAATAAATTATTTTGTAAATCCTTCACTTATTCTTCACCAGAAACACCAGGAACTTAATTAATGACTTAAAAGACCAATAAGGTTGAAAAGCTTATTTACGGTCATTTTGTAATTCTTTAATGCAACTTAAGAACAGCTGTATCTCTGTGTGAACTTACTGTGTAACTTTACATGAGAGGCACCATTACTCATCATAACCATGCACTTGGTTTATATGCTGAATACTCAGGAGCAAAGAAGAAGATTTTGTAAAGAATTGATGCTTTTCACTATATAATCAATAGATCCATACCCAACACCAGAGACCCTGACCCAGGGAGAATAAAAATCACAATTTTGGATGAGGCACCCTTGCTCATCATAAACTTGTCTGTAGTATATTTGCTAAATACCCAAGAGCAGAGAAGAAGATTTTACAAAATATTAACGCATTTTTACTACATGTATATAATCAATAGAGCCCTGCCCTAACATCAGAACCCCTGACCTATGATAATGCCAAAAGTTTGACTTCCTGATATCCAGGAGTAAAGAGGATCTGTGAAAATTTATTAATTTTGATGGTTTTGGTTCCACCCTCAGGAGGGGTGGGGTGGTGGGGGAGAGACAATAGCTCCATGCTCTATACTAAACTTTGTTGAAATTGCTTTTGCGGTTTATGAGAATAAGCTGAAAAAGTTGAAATACTGTTTCAAATCCATCTGATTATAATCAATGACTTGTAGTAGCTTTTTAAAGCGCTCACGACTTTCTTTACAGTGAGAGTCACTTCGTCTTAGAGGTATCCCGATTCTCCTATCAATCTCGCCAGTACAATGGTAAACGTGACAAAGATATTCCAAACGTATTTCGTCATCCGATGCCTCTTTTTCCAAGGAACTAATTCTGTGTCAATCATGATCAATTTTTCTGTAAAAGATGGAAGTAACATTATTATTGTTCAAAGACTAACAAAAAACTACTATGTTCATTGGACATTTTTTTTGTCTTGCCAAGGATTTGATTCCTGTTTTCCGTGCATACCACGATGCTGTTTCATCTAGTACGCGTTTTTAATTGCCCCTTCCTTAGTGCATCTTTCACAAATTGTACATGAATACCGATTCCTGGTTGCTGTGCACAACATAAGGTCATGTGTCAACTGCGAAATTTCTCAAGCAAGTTTAATGACTTGCCTAACTAGCCGAGCGGTCTAGCGCGCTGTTCCTATACTGCTAGGAGACAGAATCCCAAGGTCAACAGTTCAACCGCGGGTTGGGGCGGGAGTTACCTTACAAAGTGAATTTCCCTGTGCCTTCTATATACATTTATTTGGATACCAACATTTTTGAACTCTTGACCTTGGAGTTCAACCTGCATTTGAAATCTTCAACCATGGCCTTGAGCTACCATGCGGGGGAATCAATGTTTCACAAACACATCTTGTTTTTTTATGCCCCCGTATCGAAGATTCGGGGGATATAGTTTTGCCCTGTCCGTCCGTCTGTCTGTTTGTCTGTCTGCCGCAAAGACTTTAACCTTGCCCATAACTTTTGATTGGTTGGAGCTATGGCTTTCATATTTCACATGTGTATTCCTTGTGACAAGACCTTTCTTTGGGTACCACCATATTTGACCTTGACCTTGGAGTTTGACCCAGTTTTGTAAAATTTACCAAACTTTAACCTTGGCAAAAACTTTTGAACAATTGGTGCTAGGGCCTAATCCTTGTGGTGTAATCCTTGTGACAAGGTCTTCCTTTGAATACCAACAACTTTGACCCTTTTGACCTTGGAGTTTGACCTTCTTTTGGAAAACTTTAACTTTGGCCAAAACTTTTGAACGGTTGGTGTTAGGGCTTTTAGACTTCACATAATCCTTGTGACAAGAGCTTTCTTTGGATACCAATAACTTTTGACCCGTTGACCTTGGAGTTTGACCTACTTTTGGAAAACTTTATCCTTGGTCATAACTTTTGAACGATTGATGCTTCAGCTTTTATATTTTATCTATGTATTTCTTGGGAGAAGGCCTTTCCCTGGGCACCATTAATTTTGACCTTGACCTTGATGTTTGACATACTTTTGAAAAAAAACTTTAACCTTTTCCATATCTATTCAATGGTTGCTGCTAGGGCTTTCATATTTCACAGGTTTATTCCTCGAGACAAGAACTAACTTTGGGTACCAACATATTTGATTTGCATTTGAGAAAGTTCAACCTTTGCTATAACTTGCCATACGGGGGCATCAGTGTTTCCCAAACATATCTTGTTTATTATTATTATTTTTTATTTCTCTCGGCTTGGCCTTGGGAAATAGGAATCTTGCTTACTCCCTCAATGATATACTATGACTGTATAATAATTTTGATTTCTGAATAGCGTTCAGTTTCTGTATTGTTTTTATTTCAACTTCTATGTTTAAACAGTTGCAAATGTTTGAAAAGCATTGCAGCTTGATTTAAACAGAGAATAATATATATATATAAACCGTTTTAGTGAACATTTTCAAAGCACAAAAAATAAATAAAAAAAAATTAAAAAAAAAAAAAGTGAGGAAAAACTTCTTTCAAACGATATGTAAAGTAAGACTAATGTGAAATTGATACAATCACTGTAAATAAAAGTACAGAACATGAGTTATCTTTCTTATTACATATTTCTTGGATTAAAACATTAAACGAAAACCGATCCATTTCAAGAATATCTGTCATGTAAATTTCAGAAATATCTTGAATTCACAGGAGAGAACATGTATCTTATACTTTGTCTTATTATTTTAAAGAAAATAAGTAACACAAAAGGACTCTGTTATACTTTGATTCCTACTTACTTTTTTGTAACATTTAAGAAAACATTTCCAAAGGGAGTTTTATTTGTGCATATATGTATTTGTGTAATTTTTTTTTTTTTTTTTTCAAATTTCAACCCAACCTTAGATTTCAAGACAAGTAAAGCGAAATGGAGTCTTGTATACTAGTAAACAATAGACAGAATTTTACTTAATTTGTTGAGACAGCAACTAAGTACAGTACCAACCAGACCCAACCTGACACCTAAGCAGTCCCAGAAAACAGTCCCCGGGACTGCTTTGGGACCGCTCTGGGACTGCTGTGGGACTGCTCTGGGACCGCTCTGGGACTGCTGTAGGACTGCTCTGGGACTGCTGTGGGACTGCTCTAGAAAGCAGACCCAGCAGTCCCAGCAGTCCCTGGGACTGCTTTCTGGGACTGCTTTGTTCACTCATGCATGAAAAAGGTTCTGAGTGACATGATAGCTCCGCCCCTTGTGTATTCTGAATTTGCAGGCTCCATGTTGTTGTTTTGTTTAATTTCAGCAGAGAGGTGTTAAAGAATAAAAATACCAAGGATTTCTTACAACATTTTAATAAAAAGAGATAGATATACATGTAATTACTAAATGTCTTCAGGGGCTGTAAATTTACACAATTGTAGTCTAGAATTAATTTTAAAAAATGAAATTAGTTAAAAAGGGAAGTCAGGAGATGACTTTTATCCCTTGAATTAAACTTTAATACAGGTGTTTGAAACAAAGATATCTCTAAGGCCTATTTAATTAATTAATGCTAATTAAAACTTTAATACAGGTGTTTGAAAAAAATATCTAGGCCTATTTAATTAATTAATGCTGTCAAGTTACGGTATGTACTCAAAGTTTGCATTAGCACTATTTAAAAACAAACAAACAAACAAACAAACAAACTTGTCATTACAATAAGATAATCAGAGGGACATACTGTACTGGATTTTTTTTTTTAACTTGAAAAAGCTAAAACCATGCTAAAAAAGAGCATTCCATGTTATTTTTTTACCGCCCTCAAATAAAACCTAATAATTTATTAAATGACCATGAAATAGAATTATTCTACCATTCTTCAGTCATTTAAACAATTATATTTGTGAACAATTACTGGGGGATCTATTTATGAATTTGTTTTTGATTTATAAACAAGTTATTAAAAGAGTAAATTTATAAACTTTTTAAATTATTGGGAATTGTGACTTATTTCTTATTTGTTTTGTTTGTGTTTTCCTGGCCGATTGGCCGATTAATAAAAAGCAATACAAATGTATAAAATGGTGTCAACACCTGAGGTTTCAATCGCCTTCGGGCATGATTAGCAGAAAGTCAATGCATGTTATTTGGGTATCAGTGTTACACATCACTGAACATGCTGGTCAACAATGGCACTAATTTCAATCTATGTACTGCAAAAAATCTTCGTTTATTTCGGGATTAATTAATTTTGAACATAATCTGAGGGTTCCATTCGCGTGATTTACAGATGTACACTCAAACGTTTATATAATAAAAGTATTATTGTTTTCTGTTACATAGATAATCTAACGATAATTAAATTGGCAAGTCAGTGAAAATAATCATGACTGAAATATAATATTCAAAGAATTTTTCAAAAGCTCCAGTACTTAAGAAAACTGCATTCAGAGTATAGTATGGAAATCGGCCTTGCTCTATAATTATAAGGTCTATTTAAAGCTAGTTTTGATAGAAAATAAACAATTCAAGTTTAATTTTCTATAAAAAAAAAAATAAATATGGAAACCGATATCAATCACAGTAAATTAAGAAATTGATTTTTTCTTTGGTGAAAAATTAATATACCACAAAACTGTGTTTAAATATTCATGTTATTAGTAGGTGTGACCGTCTTCTTTGTTCAGTATTTATTATTTGTTTCTATACGCGTAGTGTGAATTTCTTAACAGTTCAAAAATGACTGTCGCATGAGAACTGATACTGCTCAGAAAGAAATGGATCATCAATTTCAACTGCCTTTTATAGTTACATTGTTTATTGGTAATCTCATTTCTGAGTAAGCTCCGCCCATTAGATTAATTAACCCCGCCCACTGGGACTGCTGGGACTGCTTTCTGGGACCGCTGGGACTGCTTTCTGGGACCGCTGGGACTGCTCTGGGACCGCTGTGGGACTGCTCTGGGACCGCTATGGGACTGCTCTGGGACTGATTTAGCAGTCCCAGAGCAGTCCCAGAAAG